TTTTCTTTCATTGAATTTTCATTGTTTCGTAAAAGTGATTTTTCCTTTTTTTTTTGTTAAACGAACTGTTTCTAACTAGGGAAAAAGTAAGCCAAAAAACATAAAAAATAAAAAAAAAGAAGCAAATTTGAATTTTCCTTTTAAAAGGAAAAAAAAGGAAAAAAAAATGAGGAAAAAGGAAGAAAAAGGAAAAGGTGGAAAAATGAAAAAGTTTTTTTTTTTTTGTATTTCAATTTTTTAGTTTTTAATTTTTTCACCCCCGTCCTTCCCCCCCAAAAGAAAAAAGAAAAAAAAGAAAATTGCACGAATGAATTTTGATGCTTTTCTCTCCCTTTCTCTCTCACTCTCTCTTTGTATCTTTCTGTTTCTCTCTCTCTCTCTTATCAATTACGAAAAGTATTTTGTCATAAAATGAAAAAAAAATTTATGTGAAAAGAAACAAAAAAAAAATTTTTTTTATTTCGTGTGAAAATGTTATAAGAGTTACCGGAAAAGGGTTTTTAAAACTATTTCCGGTTTGACGACGACCATTTAATTTTTTTTTAACGATCGTAAAATTTTTCTTTTAGGGGATTCCGATCATCCACCTCCTTCCCTTCCCCTCCCAATCCGTGGCGTATAAAATATTTTTTTACGATGGAAAAAAAATTTTTTTTTTTTGAATCGATGTCGTCGTGCGCGCGCAATAAATAAAATCATTCCGCCATATTTGTTTTTTTGTTTATCTTCTGCTTTTGGAATTTTACGAAATCGAGAAATAATAATAATAATTGTGATCATCTCATTCTTCATCGTTTTTCGTAATCGTCCGCAGTTTTATTTTTCCCTTTAAAAAATTTCAGAAAGGAAAAGGAAGGATAAGGGAAAGAAGGTGATGGGAAAGGGAAGGGAGAGAGAAAGAAAGAGAGAATAAAGTTAGTTTAAGGAAGGAAGAGTAAGGGTATAAAAAAAAAGGAAAATGAGAAAAAAAAATTAACCGGAAACAGTTGTTTTTATTAAATGGGTCAAAAAGTTTTTTTTTTCCTTTTTTTTTCTTTCTTTTTTTTGTTTTTCCTTTTTATCTGGTTTTAATTCAATTTTACCCCGGGTATTTTTTTTTGTTTTTTTTTTTGTTTTTTTTTTTTTTTTTGTGATTCGTCTTCTGCTGTTGTTTTTATTTTTTATTTATTTTTTTTCGAAATCTTTTTAATGGTTTCATGATTTCCAACAAAAAAAAAAAAAAGAAAAATTTATTTTTATTTTTGAGTTGTTTGTATTGTTGACCCCGAAACGAAACGAAACGGAAAACTTTTTTTTTTTAAAGGTACAAGAGGTTTTCTCTCTCTCTCTCTCTCTCTCTTTCTTTTTTTCTCCTTTTATGTGTGTTCGCGCGTGCGCGTCTGCCTTTCTCCTTCTTTTTTCCTTTAATCGGTGTTGTGATATTTTTCCTTATGTTTTTATAATTATGGTTTATGTGAGTAGATACTACGAACGAACAAATTCATTCCCCTCTTCCCGATTCTGCTTTCCCGATTTTATTTATTTTTATCCACTCATTCATTCATTCATTCATTCATTCATCCGATGTCATTGTATTTGTATTTTCCTCCCTGATAAAATTTTTGAATCTATTTTCCCTCCCTTCCTCCCGTTCGTATTTTTTCCCTCTCTATCACCGTTTCGACGATGCCGAACGTCATCAATCTACCACTAATTGCCCTTTTAACAAATGCTCTTTTCATTCCTTTTTTTTCCCCCTATAAATGTATCGAAAATAATGATAATAATAATGATATTTTATAATAATAGGATTTTTTCGTCGAATGGGAAAGTGGAAAATGTGGAAGTGAGTGCGAGAGAATTCGAATTGGAATAAAGTAAAGAGAGAGAGAGAGAGCAAGAAAAAATAAAAATAAAATGGGAGAATGATCCTTCTCCCGATCAGGGGCGGGAACGGGGAGAAACAGGGCGGGGCGGTGGGGGGGGGACTGATAAACGGAGAGAATTCCGTTTTGATTCGGTCAATAATCCGATCAATTTTGAATTTATTTTATTATAAAATATATTAATAATAATAATAAAATTTTTGCTCCCGATTTTCAAAAGGTTTTTTATTCCAAATGGGGGGAAAAAGGGGAGGGGGAGTTGGTATCATTGAACGTGATTGTAAACGCGGAGAGGAAAAAAAGCGATTTTTAATTAATTTTTTTTTTTTTTTTTTAAGTGTCAAAATTTAAATTTTTTTGTCGCCATTTTGTTTTTTTTCGAACGTTTTGTTTTAGTTTCGAACGGTGTCATATTCATAACAATTATTATTATTATCATCATTATCATTATCATTACCGGAACGCATGAGGAAAGCGCGGAGAACAATGAAAAAAAAAAAAAAATTTGAGGTCGAAATTATTTTTTTATTTTTTGTTTTATGTTTTAATTAAAACTTGTTGCTCGCATCGATCCTCGAACGTATTACGTAATAATAATAATAAAATAATAATGATGATGATGATGATAATAAAGAGCGCGAACGTTAAGTTTAGAGAATCTCGTCGGTTTGGATTTTTATTTTTAATTTTTTTTTTTTTTTTTAAATCTATATTCTGGATAATTACGACGGGAAAATTTCATAGAATTTTGTGACGTCATCGTTCGTACGTCACCAATCGACATGCCAACCAATCGACTCTCGCTTTTTGTTTTTTTTTTGTTATTTTACTTTTAAAGAGGAAACGTTTGTTTTTATGTGACAACAAAAGGCGCCGACTTTGAGGAAATTGTTAAATATTGTTATTATTATTATTATTTTATTTTTATTTCTTTTCCTGCCCCCTCCCCCTCCCCCTCCCTCACCACCCACTACCACCACCCCGCATTCTCCACGATTCGTGCGTGAGTTTTATTCGTTTTTTTTTCGCAATTTATTTTCTGTTAACGAGGAGTTGTTTGTTGCCACGAGCAAAAACAACGGCGACGACGACGACGACGACGAGAAAGTAATAATGAAAATAATTACGACGACGTTTTTTTTTTTTTTTTGTCGACAAAATAAAAAAAAAAAATTAACAATTTAACAGCTGGAAAAAAAAAAAAAAATGTACCTAACGGCGAAGGTCGAATTATTTTACATTATTTTTCCATCTTTTTAGTCGTCGTCGTCGTCGTCGTCGTTGCCGTCGTCGTCTGCTTTTATTATTCCAGTCGTCGAACGGGACGACCGTGTTTTGATTACATCATTTTAGCCATAGAAATTATTATCATCATCATCATTATTATTCGTCATATTTTTTTTTTTTTCACAAAATCTCTTTAAAGAAATAATCGTTCATTTATTAAATAATAATAATAATGATAATGATAATAATAATAAATTATTGCTGCGTTAATTTTCACTTCCGCGTTGCGAAATGATAAAGAATGAGGAGAAGGAAAATTTTTAATTTCTCTCTCACTTTTCTCTGGAGAAAAACAAAGGAAAAAAATGGTAAAAACGGGAAAAGTTTTCGCGGAATGGGGGGGGGTAGGGAGAGATGAAAAAGGAGAGAGAGAGAAGAAAGCGTCAAAGGATGAAAGCGTTTTTACAATGAAAAAAAAAAAAAAAAAGAATCTGGTGACTGGAACTTTTTTTTTTTTTTTATGACTGTACACATAAAAAATTATTTATTTTGTTTCGCATTTATAATAATAATAATAATAATAATAATAATAATGATGATGATGATAATGATGATGATAATGATGATGATGATAATGATAAATATTTAATGGCGTTTATGTGATGAAATGTTTTCATTTTTTCGCAATTTGCAACGTTTTTCTTTTATTTTTTTATTTTTTATTTTTATTTTTTTTAATTTATGTCAAAACGACGACAAAAATTATTATTATTATTATTAGAGAAAGAAAAAGAAATAAATTGAGTGAGAGAGAGAGAGAGAGGAAGGGGGAAATAGAGAGAGAGGAAAAAGTTGTTTGATTTTGATTCACATGAAACAAAAAAGAAAAATAAAAAATAAAATATATGGTTAAGGGCTCATATATAAATATCATTAGTCAATTTATTATTATCATTATTATTATTATTATTTTATTACCGAAGAGAGAGAAAGAGAGAGGAGAGAGAGGGAGAGAGAAAGAGAGTGCAGTGACCCACATCGCTTACGGCCTACGGCCTGTTGCGAAATCTCGAAAAAAAAAAAATTTTTTTTTTTTTTTTTGTTTTTCAAGCTGTGCTTATGATGTTGCTGATGTCGTGCCAATTTTTCCTTTTTCTCTTTTGTTTAATTCTTTCGTTTCCGGTTTTTTAGAATCGTTTTTGGTTTTTTATAATAATAATAATAATAATAATAATATTATTTTTTTTTTTTAGGCAAAAATCACAGAAAAAATAAAAAATAAATCGATCGGAAAATGATCGAATCGACCTTAATTTTTTTTTTTTTATTATTATTTGTTTAAACAAAAAAAAAAAAACTGAAAACCCGCCTAATCGTAAACAAATTCATTTTTATTGTTTTGACAAGAAATAAGAGAGAAAGAGAGAGAGACAGAAAGAGAAAGGGAAACGGAAATGAGTTTAAAAAAAGAGAGAATTTGATTTGAACACGGGGGGAGTAAGGAAAAGGATGTAATAAATATTTAAACGCATTGTCGATATTGAGTTTATTATCATTATTATCATCATTATTATTTATTAAAGCCCGATTTAAAAAAGAATTGAGGTCGTCTTCATTTAAATTAATTATCGTTATTATTATCATTATTATTAATATTATTACGTAATTACGTAATAATTACGACGCGCGCACCTGGAAAAAAAAAAGAAAAATTTTTCCTGATTTCGTTTGGTTTTTTTTTTTTTAAATGTTGGCAAAATTGTTTCATTTTTATTATTATTGTTATTATTGTTGTTAAGGGAAGGGGAAAGCGGGAAATGTAAAAGAAGAAGAAAAAAAAATTCTTGAAATTTGTCGCTGGTGCTTGTGATGATTGACGTTAAAATTTTTTTTTTTTTACATTTCCAGGCTGTAGATTGGTGGAGCGTCGGAGTTTTGACCTATGAACTATTGACAGGAGCCTCACCTTTTACCGTAGAGGGTGAAAAAAATACACAGCAAGAAATTTCTAGGTGAGTAAGCGAGTATTCGTGTTACCTTTTCGGAAAGAATGAAAATTAAAACAAAAATAAAAAATTTTTTAATTTTTTTTTTCCAGGCGGATTTTAAACGTGAATCCTCCGATGCCTCCGGGATTTTCACCCGAAGTCGCGGATTTCATAAGCAGGCTTTTGGTAAAGAATCCTAGGAAGAGATTGGGCGGTGGCGAAGATGATGCCGAAGAACTGAAAAGACATCAATTTTTTGCGGTTAGTTTTCTTTATCATCATCATCATCATCATTGTTTTCCATCATTTTACCCGTTCCAGTTTTTTATGTTTTATATGCGGGGGAAGAAAAAAAGGAAGGGAAAGGAAGGGAAGGGGATGATTAGAAAATTTTAAAAAAAAGTGGAATTAGAAATTTTGATTTTACTTTAAAGTCACGTTTTCATTTACTTCGTGAACGTAACACCGATTGAATCCTTTAAAATCCCTCTCCCTTCCACCTTCTCTCCCCGCTCTCTCCCTCTCCCCGCCAATTTTCTATTATTTTCATTAGCTCACATCAAAGCTTTTTGTTTTTCCATTTTCTTTTCATCACCCTTCCCCCCTCCCATCTCTCTCAGAGAGAGAGAGAGTGAGAGAGAGAGAGAGCAGGAAAACAGATTGGAAAATCTTTTTTTTTTTTTTTTTTTTAAAACCTTTCATTGTTGTTTCAAAGCAATTAAATCCCGAATTTGTTTTAACAAAGTTTAATGTAGGAGGAAGGGAGAGAGGGAGGGGGTAGGGGGAAGACGACGCGCGGGAAGTTTGTAATCTTTTTCCGGAATAAAAAATTATCCAGAATTTCCGCCACACACACAGACAAAATAAAATAAAAAAAAAAAAATAATTAATTGTATTTTAACATTTTTCCGAGAAAAAAAAAAAACAAAAGAAGACGGAGGAGAGTATGGAAAAAGATACGGGAAAAAGGATCAATTTAAATTTTTTTACAAAATGAATAAAGTAATAAATTTTCTTTTAAAATGAACGAGATGAAATTTGAAAAATCATTAGGGATATAATTTATTTAAAAAAAAAAAAATTAAACTATTTGATTTTAATGAAAAATGATCATTAAGAAAATTTTCTCCCGATTCCCCGTTTTCGCTCCCCTTTATCCTGTTGTTTTTTTTTATCCGTCTCGGAAAATTTTCTTCCCGTCGTCTGCTTCTTTTTTTTTCGTTGCTGTTGTTGTTGTTGTATTAATTTTTTTTTTTTTTTTGTTATCTCGTCCATCAGGGTACGGATTGGACTGAATTGGCAAGGAAAAACATACCCGCACCGTTTGTTCCAAAGATCTCGAACGAATTAGACGTGAGTAATTTTTCCGAAGAGTTTACAAAAATGACTCCGACGGATTCTCCAGCAATAGTTCCTCCAAATTACGATAAAATATTCAAGGGATATTCGTATGTCGCACCGAGCGTTCTGTTCAGCGAAAACGTCGTGAGCGAAGACATATTTAATATCGCCGACAGGAGACCGAGCCTGGCTAATTTGATTGCGGAAAAATTTAAGGTACCTTTTTGGGGAAAACGTCATCGTTGTCCGTCGTCGTCCGTGATGATGCCAACGTTTGAAAATTAATTTTTTTGTTATAGGATTCGCCCTTTTTTCAAAATTACGATATAAATTTAAAAGAGGGAATACTCGGAGACGGTAGTTTTTCCGTTTGTCGTAAATGCGTTCACCGTCGAACGGGTCAGGAATATGCTGTGAAAATAGTTACGAGACGTTTGGACTGCACACACGAAATAAATCTTTTGAGGACGTGTCAGGGTCATCCGAACATCGTGAACCTTCACGAGGTTTACTTCGACGAGGTTTGTATGGAAAATTCGCGGTTTAAAAAACTATTAGGATTATTATCATTATCGTTATCAATTTTGTGTTTCAGGCTCATACTTACATAGTTTTGGAATTGTTACGCGGCGGAGAACTTTTGGAAAGGATAAGGAGAAAGGACAGGTTTACGGAATCGGAAGCGAGTCAAATAATGAGAAAACTCGTGTCCGCCGTGAGTTTTATGCATTCCCATGGCGTCGTTCACCGCGATCTCAAACCGGAAGTGAGTTTTTCTCTCTCTCTTTGTCTCTCTCCTCGCAGCAGGATGTTTATTAATGTGGAATTTATTTGCAGAATCTCCTTTTCACCGACGATTCAGACACTGCCGAAATAAAAATAGTCGATTTTGGTTTTGCAAGAAAACACGAAGAAGAATCCATGCACACGCCTTGTTTTACGCTTTTATATGCCGCGCCGGAAGTTTTGAAACAAGCGTTCAACAGAGAAGAAGATGGCTACGATGAAAACTGTGATTTATGGAGTCTCGGAGTTATATTGGTGAGTTTTCACCCCCCTTTTTTCTTTTCTTTTTGAAATCGTGTCACAGACGAGAACGTTGGAGGATAAAAAAGAAAGAAGAAGAAGGGGAGGAGAGGAGAGGAGGGAACGTTTCATATTTTTAGTTTTGTGGGAAAAATTATAAACGATGGAACAAACAAGAGATTTATTTTTTTTTTGCTGTTGTGACGTTTTTTCCTTTTTTTTTTTCCTTTGATAAAATTTATTATTTAAAATTTAGAAAAAAAAAAAAAACTTTTTCTTCTGCTTCTTCTTCTTCTTTTCTTTATTTTCCAATGTCTGGAATCATCTGATTTACGATTTAATGATGACGTTTTTTTAAAGTTTTATTTTAATATAAAATTATTGTTGTTGTTGTTTGTTGTTTGTTGCGTATAGTACACAATGCTCAGCGGAAGAGTGCCTTTTCATGCAAGGTCTAGAGACGACAGCGCCGCTGCTGTCATGTGCAGAATAAAAGGTGGAGAATTTAATTTTCAAGACGAAGCTTGGGGACCCGTTTCGAATCAAGCAAAATCTTTAACCAAAGGTAATAATAATAATGATAATGATAATGATAATAAAACCGACGACGTTTTATTTATTTATTTATAACGAAAACTTTTCATAATTTTAATAATTTATATTAAAAAAAAAAATAAGGACAAAATAAATTCATAAGTTTTATGCGTTTGTTTGTTTGTTTGTTTTTAAACGTGAAGGATTGTTGACTGTCGATCCAAAGCAAAGACTTCAAATGAAAGATCTTTTAGAAAACGAATGGCTTCAGGGTAGCAACACTTCGGTGTATCCGACGACGCCGTTAATGACTCCAGACGTTCTTACAACAGGTTCGTCAGCGAGATCGGCGGAAATCGGCGTAAAAAAGACTTTCAAAGCATTCCATCAAGCACACAAGGAGGGATTTCGACTCCAGGTACCTGCAAGAACGTGAAAATTTTGTTCGTAAGGTTTTCAAATGATGATGATGATGATAATAATTATGGTTTTCCCGTAGGATGTCGTCAATGCGAAATTGGCTCAGAGGCGACGAATGAAAAAATCAACGGACGTACGAAGTTGTTCGTCGTCGTCGAGTTTTTCGACTTCGAGTTCATCGGGTACCTCTTCCATAAAAATGCCAACGAAAGTGAGTCAATCGGGTTCGGTGTGTTCGGTCGGGAGTTCGAATCGTGCTCATTCAAACAATACAACAAACGTTTTTAATTTTAACGCGAAACGTGTCGAAGAATACCTGTCGAGTTTGTCGTCGTCGTCGTCGAGCGAAGACTCATCGATTGCACACGTATTCGAATCCGGTGGAAATTTCGCCGGGAAAATATCGTATAATAACAACGATGGCGGCGGCGGTGGCGGTTGCGAAACTCCGATTCAGTTGAGTCTTCCGTTGTTGAAAGAATCGCGAAAGAGAAAATTATGTCACGAATCCGGGGATTCGTACGGGTTTCATAAAAAAAATTTAAATTCGAATCCGACGCAAAAACTTTCTGCCGCCGCCACGGGGTCCGCCGCTGCCACCGCGTCCGTCGCGGCGGTTTCGTCGAAATCGAAACGTGATAAAAAACTCAGAGGAGGAGACTTTATTGAAACAAGTGAAAAGAGAAAAATTGAGTCTAATCATTGTGACCAAAGAATTAATAATAATAATAATGTTAATAGTAATAATAATAATAATAATAATAAAACGGATGAGATGCCTGTGATTATGACAATTAAATGTGATACTACCAAGATAGGAGACAGCGTGCCTTCCATGGGTCCCATGACGAGATCCAAGAAAAGAAAATTAGAATCGGATGCGAACGCGTCCGATCGAAGCGACGACGAACATCAACAAAATTCTCAACACCACCACAATTACCACCAACACCACAGTCATCACCACCATCAACACCATCAGCACCACCACCACCATCATAGTCAACCGAAAAGAAATCGTTACGGTAAAGAAAGAAATCGGAGGAAAGTTGTTGGGAAAAAAACTTGTTCGACGGGTCATAACGTCAACGAATGACGTTCAAAAACAGGGAATTAGATTAAATTTTTCGTGGTACTTTATTTTAATTTTTACGTTCGGATGATGAATAATTCGATAAATCAATCAAGCAGTCAGTCAATCAATCATTGACTTAATGTTGTCTGCGGCCACGTGAATGAGATGAAAAAAAAAAGCGTCAGATTTTTTTATTGAAAATTCGGTCAAATCATCGTATATGTAATGTAATTTACAAATCGTTACCTAATTATTATTACCATTCGAATTTATTATTATTATTATTATTATTATCATCATTATCATTATTATTACTTTTAAGAAAAGAGTATATATATGAATTGTAATAATAATAATAATAATAATAATAATAATGATAGAAAAGTGCGTGTTGTTGTAATAACCGCTGGTCGGTTATAAACGCACTCTTATATACATATATATAAATATCTAATATAAAAGTATACATAATAATAATAATGATAATGATAATGATAATAATGTCGGTCGAATTAACAGAGGAAAAAAAAAAAATGTTTTGAATCCGATTTAAATCTTCTCTTTTCTATTTTTCGTATTTATAATTATATATATATTTGAAATTATTATTATTATGATTATCATTATCGTTATTATTATTATTATTATTATTAAAAAGAAATTTTATTTTGAAAATTCGACGTGGCCTTTGATGTGCGAATGAGTGTGTGTGAGTGAGTGAGTGAGTGCGTGCGTGTGCGGATGTGTTTGTTTGTGTCTGTCTCACGCGCTCTTAAAAAAAAAAAAAACGAATCAACGTAAAAAAAGAGTAAGTTTGTTGTTATCATTATTATTATTATTATCATCATCATCATCATTATCATTATCATCATCATCATCGACATCATCATAACGATTATTATTATTATTAATGTAATCGTTGCGGTTGTTGTTGTTGTCGGGAATTTTTTTTTTATTTTTCGCAACGTGAGAAAAAGGAAAAGGAGAGAAGGGGGAGAGATGAGTGAGGGTAAAAAAAGGTAGTACAAAGTTTCAATAGTGAAAGAGTACAAAAAAAAGGATCGGGTTTTTAGAAAAGTGGAAGCAGATGAATGAAAAGACGTAGGAAAAGAAAGAAAAGATTAAAGGAAAATTGGATTTTAGTCATTTCATTTTTTATTTTATATGAATGGGGAATCGGGGGGATTAGGGGAATTAAGAGGGGGAGAGGAACAAAAACAATAATAATAATGTTAATACACAAAGGAAAAAGGGTGAGGTGGGGTGGAGGGAGGAGGGAAAATGGTCGAAACGTCAGAATAAAAAATTTTAATATTTATTATTATTATTATTATTCAGGAAAATTCGGATTCGATCGGAAAAGAGGAAAGGAAAGGTAAGAGGAGGAAATGGAGGGTAAGGGGGGCTTGAAACTCATTTCAAATCCGGTTTCTCTCCTCCTCCCATTTCAAAAGTTTTAAACGTTCGTTAACCCCTCCCCTCCCCTTCTTCTTCACTCCCTTTATCCCCGCCCAAAATCATCCTTCCCCCTCTCTATCTCCCCTCCCAGACTGAAAAAGAAGAAAAAGACAGATTGTCATCGTTCTCAGTATATTCCATCGACCATAGAAAAATTATTTTCGAAAATTGTGGCAGTTTAATTAGGTAGCTAATTGAAATCGATCGATTCGTATCGATAAATCGATTAACGATTTCGATTTATTTTATTTCTCAATAACGAATCGATTTTTTACATTAATTAATTTATTATTATTATTATTAATTTTTTTTTTTTAAATAATCCGCGAGAAAAAAAAATTCGTTGATTTGTGACAGGACGGATGCGAAAAAATAAAATAAAATGGCGGACGAATGAAATTATAAAAAATGCGATCGATCGATGGATCGATAGATCGAACAAATCGATATAGTTATTATTATTATTATCATTATTGTTATTGTTTTTTTTCGATTTTTTTTAGTATTCTTATTTGTACTAATTTTTATTATTGTTAACTTTTTTTTTAACGGTGACAAATCGATTGTCAAACAAACAATCGATCGATCGATTTTTTTGTTGGTGACCTTGAAATTCGGTCACGCAACCTGCGAATTTTTTGTTATTTTTTTTTTTTAAAAGTAAAATTTGCTTTCGTCGGTATAAAAAAAATTTTAAAGAATTTTTTTTTTTTAAATTATAAATCGATGACGTCGTTGATTTTTACACGATGATGATGACAATAATAATAATAATAATAAGCGATCAATATTTTTTTTTTTTTTTAAATAATAAACCGTGCAAGTGTTTGATAATTATTTTGTGCGTTTTAAATAACGTGACTCTTTTACATTTTAATTAATAATAATATTAATAATAGTAATAAGTTTACGAGAACGATTAATAATTTAATTAATTTTTTTTTTATTAATTTATAAATATTTAAGAACGACCATATTGATTGCGTGTCACGTTTAATAAAAAAAAAAAAAAAAAAAAAAAAAAAAAAAGAAATTTTTGCTAAGATAGAAAGTGACATCCATTGTAAATTTTATTTTAAAAAAAAGAGTTGTTTTAGTACAATTTTTCAAACAATAGATGTCACTTTACGTTTTTTTATTATTTATATTATATTATTTTTATATAATATAATAATAATGATGATGATGATGATGATGATGATGATGACGTCGGGAAGAAAATTTAAGTAAGGTTGATTTGGTTTGTATTACCGATCGATTTTTTTTTTTTTTTTAGTATTGATTCGAACAAAAAGAGATTCTTTTCTCTTATAATAAAATAATTATTATTATTATTATGTAATTGAATGAATGTTGGGGGTCATGACCCCAAACAAAACAACTTTTCAAATGTTCAATGTTATCAAATCGTTCGAGTTATGAATGAATGGTAAGAGTGAGAGAGAGAGAGAGAGAAAAAAAATGTTACACGAATCTCATTATCCCCCCTCCTCCTAGATTCTCTGTCTCTCCTTCCCTTTCACCCTCTCCCCCCCTCCCAAAGAAGCGGGTGGAAATTGAAAATGGAGAATTTTTATAAAGTGCCTCAAATTTTTGGTTAAATTTCGTTTGTTGCTGTTTGCCGTAGACGTCGAAGCCTTTTTTTTTTAATTAATTAATTAATTATTCTTGTTATTGTTGTTGTTGTTGCTGTTGTTTGTTTTTGCTCTATGCTGATAATAATAATAATAATATTGATGGTTGTTAAGTGATAATAATCATATCCGTTAGGATTTAAATTTGATTTTGATTTATTATCATTATAATAACGATAACATTTGAATTTATAAACACACAGACACGAACTGTGTGACTTTTTTTTTTTTTTTAAGGGAGACGTCGGGGGAGGAGAATGAATGATGAATGGATAGAAAAGAGAGGGAAGGGGAGAGTGGGGAGGGAACTTTTTGAAAAAAGTCGTCGTTTTGTTTTTTCCGTCGTTTAACTAAAAATTTCTTTTTGCCTTAAATAAATAATTAAATAATTGATATTAATTGCGTGTGAATAATAATACGTACACGCGCGTTAATAATAATAATAATAATGATAATAATAATAGCAACAACAATAATAATAATAATGATAATTTTTCACGTGATTTTTTTTTTGTTTTTCTCTCCGGGAAATTTTTTTTCTTTTTTTTTTCTCTCCGGGAAATTTTTTTTTTTTGCACTTTCGCGTGACCTTTTACATTTTTACGTATTCATTAATGATGATGATAATATTTGTACGATTTCATAACTCGAAAGTGACAATTAATAATAATAATAATAATGACGAAATAAGTGATATCGTGTGACCAATGAGTGAGAGCGCGTGCGAGAATGCGTAAAAAAAAATGCGTGAAAGTGAAAATTAAAAAAAAAAATAAAAGAAGAAGAATGATGATGATAATGATAATGATAATAATAAATGATAATAATAATAATAATAAATAAATAAATATTGTTTCCCTTTTGAAATATTTTATTGTTTGTTGTGAATTATTAAGAATAAAAAAAAAAAAAAAAACAAAAAAAAACAAAAAATTAAAAAAAAATAATTAAAAAATGAAAAAAATTTATTTAATTGTGTAAAAATCTTATTACAATAATAATAATAATAGTAATAATAATAATAATATTTGTATTAAAAAAAAACGAGAAAAAAACAAAAAGAAAAAAAATATATGAGATATATATATATATACACAAACACATACGTGTTGTTTACGTAATTGAATGTAAAAAAATTTTTTTTTCTCTTTTGTTCCATTCATTCATTCATTCATTCAATCCTTTTTATTCCAGGTAGTTTTCAGAAACGTGTGAAAGAAGAAAAAATTATCGGTAACGTAATTTGGTGACGTCATTTAAAAAAAAAAATATTCGATCGAATGTGAAAAATTACGAAAAATCATTTTCCAATATGATGGAGGGTTGGGATCGTTTGCCTGGAGAAGAAACGTTTGAAAACTAAAAATGATGATGCGTTATGTTATTATTGTTGGAAAAGAAAAATGGAAAATTTTTTGACTGGAATGAGGAAAAAGATTTCAATGTTAAAATTATCCAATTAACAAAAGATTTAAAAAAAAAAAAGGAAAAAAAAACTTTTCCAAAATTTTATTTTGATCACGATTTTCTTTTAAAGTTTAATAAGAGTTTTTTTTTGTAAAAGAAAAAAAAGTCTGGAATTTTTTTCTTTTTTGGTTTTTTGACTGGAAAACGTTTTTTTTTTTTGTTAATTCTTCGACTTCTTTTAGACCTCTGGAAAATTACGATGGTAAAAAAAAAAGAAAACTGGAATAAAAATTATTGAAACTTCATTGTAAAGTTTGTCACAATCAGTTTTTTTTTTGGAGTTTTTCTCCTAGGTAAAAAGGATTACGGATGAAAAAGACAAAAAAAAAAAAAAAAAAAAAAAACGTGGAAGAAGAAAAATAAAAAAGAAAAAGTTTTTTTTTTTTTTTATTGGCATTCCTGGAATGACAATCAGGGAGAAACGTTTTGATGAGAAAATCTTTTTTCTTTATTTTTATACTG